TATTTAGACGCACTGTATGAATCCATGTAAAATCTTAATTGCCAGGTGATGCTTTACAACTTTATTGTTTCCACGTGACTGAAACCGGTTTGCACTTGTTTACGTTCTTGTATCCATTGGTTAAATTAGACGATAGGTAATATAAATTTGACGATAGGATAAACTAGACGATATATTATATAAATATAGAATAGTATATAATAATAGATCAAATTGTTAGACGCACTGTAGTTTTTTAGTAATGCACTTGCAATACTTTAATATTTAAACATGTGCAATACTTTAATATTTAAGCATGCATGTAATTGGTTTTTATCTTTTTTTTTATTATTAGATATTTTTATACTTTTTTATTTATTATTATGGATATTATAGATTTTTTATATATTTTCTATTTGTATTTATTTTTAACTTATTGTATTACAATGTTAGCCCATTGATACACGAACTTAAGCAAGTGCAAACCGGTTTTAGCCGCGTAAAGACAATAAAGCTGTGTAGCATTACCTGATAATTAAGATTTTACATGGAATCTTATAGTGCGTCGAATAATTTGGCCTGTATAACTTTTGATTGGAAAGCCACCCTTGCCCAAGAGTTAAGAGCTCTGTCCTCCCAATGCGATGGCATAGGTTCGAATCTCAGATTAAGGCCTCAGTGCTGACTTAAAATATTCTCGATGGTTGACGAATCATGGGTTACACCCTTATGCAACTGGAACGCGCTTCTTTAATTCGATTTCTTCGAAACCGTTCGATCGCTCTTCGACGGGAAGACTGTTTACGAAGGCTCCGTCGTAATATGAAATGATGCTACTTTTGCGATGCAATTTTTATAACTGCAACTGTTACTCATGACTGTTGGGTCAAGTTTAGCCTATATCTAAAGCTAGCGCTGTCTACGCATGTTTTAAAAATGGCGCACAACGTCAATATGGAGGAAAGCCATCGTTTTGTAACAATGAAAATCGTTTGCGGATTATTTTTTTTAATGTTTTACAAACTTACACCAATACTGGCTCACGTGGGCTCATAAAATTTCGCAAAAACTGAGAATAAAAGGTAGTGATTTTGATAATTTATATCTAGTTGGAGAAATGTCGCTAGATTACCGATTTTTAAAAAAGTTTATTAACTTTTGAAATATTTATTTGTCTGTTCTGAAGCCCAGATCACGGCGAGATCGGAAATGATAATAAAGCGTTATTGATTTCGCTTAGTGACTTGATTTGCAAAATTTTAAACATTCTTTATTAGTGAACTAAATATTTTATATTTAATTTTAAAGCACTTTTGAGTTGACGCAGTTTATTTGAGAATATATTGTAAAGAAATTAAAAAAAGTAATACTTAATTTAATTATTATCAATGAAATATATGACAGGAAACTAGTTTATTCTGTTTTCAAAAATATTTTTAATTTTTTTTTCTATCTTAGATTGTCGAAAAAGTTTCAAACGTCGTTTGAAATAGTCTAACCCTTTGAAAAGGCGGAAAGTGTGGAAAGATTTGTATAATCAAAATTCTGTTAACATTTAATTTTATGCATAGTATGCCGAAATCGTATGCGTGTTTTTTTCCCCCTTCATATTTCATCATTGCAAAGATGAAATACCATTTAGCGTAGAAATATTTTTCCTTTCTTTTTTTTGCTATTTTTAAAGGGGGCTGATTTGTAAGGGGTCCCTTAATCACAAAATTTTGTAGTTGGGGTTTGTGTACTCCAAAGTTTGTAAACTCAGAATTTTATGCACATGCATTAGGCTGAGGATGCAGTTCCCATAAATTGCGTCGCTCTTAGGTCGCTTCAGACTTATTCATTAAATAAAATTCTAAATAAATATTTTATTCATAATGCCAAAATTAAATTAAATTACGAGAAAGTATGTTTTAAAACTATATTGAAATTTTTTTTAATGTTTTTTTTTTTTTATGTTTCCTTTTTATGATCCCTTTTTCAGGTGTCTATGTGGCCAGTTCGACTCTAAAGGCACTTTAAAACTATGTTTGTTTGTTTTTTACCTCGCCAACAAGGCATCGAAAAGCAGCTTTAATTCAACTGTAACGTTAGGTCATTATTGCCCGAGTCCAAATTCTTGATGGTCCAATCAAGACATTTTGATGGTTTATGTTGGTTTCAGAGCGATTCATGATGGTCGGACATCATTTGATGGTCACCACCATCCAACATTTACTATTATACGTTCGTGGTTTTTGATGTCCCCACTAAAAATAATCTTAGGATTTTCTTAAGAAAATGTCATTTTCTTAAGAAATTCTTCAGAAATCTGAAGAATTTCTTAAGATTTAACTCTATCTCCAAAATATCTTAAGAATTTTTGCAGACATTTTACAGACATTTTGAATATCTTTAAGGTGAATTAAGTTTGTCTTCAAAAATTCTTAAGAAAATCTTAAGACATATTCCTCAGTTAGAATTACCTTAAAGCATCTTAAGATTCTTTAAAATATCTTAAGAATTTTTTCAGACATTTTGGATATCTTTAGGATGAATTAAGTTTGTCTTAAGAAAATTTGAAGAAAGTTTCCTGAGTTAATGTTACCTTAAAACATCTTAAAATTTTTCAGAATATCTTAAGAATTTTTGAAGACATTTTGAATATCTTTAAGGTGAATTAAGTTTGAACAAGGATTTCTTAAAAAAAATTTCGGTTTGCACAAAATTTTCATCATTCCATGATGGAAATTGCTTCTTTAAGACTATGATGGTTAACAATAAATAGAAGTTTGATTCTCATGGACCAACCATGATGTTTCGCGATGGTTCATAGAAACCGCAAATTTATGTATATATATACATATATATATAAAGAATTTCCCTCCAAAAATTTTTGGTTGTTATACTGGATTGCTAAAAAATTTTAACTCGTTAACAACTTGCAATTTTTGCGTTTTTAATATTAGTATTTTGTGTGTGATTTGGAAAAATTGTCGTAATAGCAGACTACTCAAACTATGTCGTGTTTGTTATATCGAGCTTTTCCTGTATTTTTATTACATCAAAACGAAAAATGTGACGGAAAGTGCGGATGGTAGTCTGTTTTTGATATAATAAAAGTAAAATTACTCCTATTTTCTTTTTAGACCACACAAAAAACGTAGTTTTTTCTCTTTTTCTTAAAAAAAAGTAAATATTTTTTCCCTTAAGTATTTCTGTTTGTTTTGATATTAATTCTACTTTTAAAGTTTTTTTTTTCTTGTCATGGAATCATTTTTGGATAAACGAGATTTATAGATGTGTGCTAGCATTTATCGATTCTCTTAAAAATTTCTCGAGACATAGCGAAATAAGCAAAAAAGAAAATTAAAATTAAGGAGTCCAAACTTTGGAGCGTTCTCCTGACCGAACTATTGGGACCGTATTTCACAATTTGCGACTACCCCCTATATTTTGGGGGTCAGAAATTCGAACCGTCTTAAAAAAATATATCTTTATTCAAAGAAAGTACGTTTTTGTGTATGATTTTGTGACTTAAAATATCGTCTGCTTTTATTAGTTAGCATGTTTGAGGTCAACCCTTTGAGCCATTAAGGGAGAGTCCTAGAACATGAAGATCTGATCATTAAATCAAAAGTTATTCACGGTGTCTGCTTTTTATTTTGCTCACTGTACTTATATAAACTTTTCTTTAAAAAAAATCTTTTTTTACATATAATCTTGCATATGCTAAATGTTGCAACTGAAATAAACATATATCTTTTATGAATAACAAGATTCAACGCTATTGACGAAAACTTAAATGGCAATTGTGAAGGGAAAAATAAAATGAATGAAGGGGTGCCATTATTTGTATCAAGGTGTGAATTGTTTTTTATGTGTAATATTTCCCTTGGTTCTAAAACACAGAATGCACCCTGTGGCAGAATTTTTTGGGCTCTCTGCGACATACCTCTCTAATATTTCTGCAAGATACTTTTAAAAATAACAATATAGGTGTTACTAAACTGAAGTAACAGAAATGTCAACTTCAAAAAAAAAAAAAACTTTTTGGATCTAATAAAATAATTAATTAAATATGTAATATTTTTTATTCTAATATTATGGACGATATTCTTGCATTTTGTAGGGGGGGATGCGAATTATTTTCTTTCTCGCATTTTGTAAATCATCACATTTAAAAAATAATAGAAAAATCGTTATATTCGTAGCAGTAACTACCGAAAAAAAAAAAAGGATCGATGACGAAATCAGGCAAATTGGACTCTTCAAAAAAGGGTAACTCAATGTGTGTTTTTATTTTGAGATACAGTTGCAGTAATAAATAATATTGTACAGTACAGAACCCGTTATCCGGAAATCAGAAAACCGGAAAATCAAAAAACCGGAACGAAATTCAATAAATTTTCCCGCCATTTTTAAAAAAAAAATTTTTTTTCCTCACAAGATTTTAGGATTTTTCTTTCTTTTTTGAAAGATGTTTACCTTACCATCATTTTGGAAATAATCATTAGTGTATTACTTCATCGTTTTTTCTTGATTTTTATTTTTTAGTTGGGTTTAACAATAAAAAAACGGCTTTTTGTAGCGATTCAGAAAACCGGAAAAATCAGTTATCCGGAATAGCGATGGTCCCGATCGTTCCGGATAATCGGTTCCCTTAGAAATATCGGATTTTAAAAACCATGTGGAAATCAATAGCATAAAAAAAATTGAACGAAAATTTCTATGGAGAAAGAAAACCAAATTTTTACTTCATTATTCTTTATTTCTCATTCTTCTCAAATGAGGATAGAAAAATCACAAACATATTTTTCCAGAGAAAGGCATCTTATGAATATAATTCTAAAAAAAAAACAAAATTTTTTCCTTCTCGAAAGAAAAATCTTTCTGCAAGACCTCCGTAAAGTTCTGCTACAATGTCGCCGTGTGGCCTCTATTCTGCCATTGGGAGAATGCACTACTGTTGGTTTTTTTAAACTTGAAATCAAAGTGTTGTAATTATATAATTCTGATTTTTCTATTGTTTTTCTTTCTCTTAGTGTTTTCCAAAGGTCAGTGTGAAACAGGCTACTATAGATTCCTTTCCAAGCATGGTGGTTACATTTGGGTTGTAACTCAGGCGACACTTATATATGAAAACGGGAAGGAGAAGCCAGAATGTGTCGTCTGCCTTAATTATGTGCTGAGGTATGTTCATATCATCAGTCTGAATGGATGAAATAATTTTCACAGCATAATTTCTATTATTGAATTAAAAATGTATTTGTTATTTTGAGGTTCATCCAAAAAGTAATTGTAAAAGTGAGTAAGTGGCGCAGTTATAAGAGACAAGGTGAACTCTATAACAAATGACGTTCATTGAAAACCGTCTACTATGTCACCACATGTCTTATTAGAGATTAAATTATTAATAAAATTGGAATAAAATGTTAATAAAAGAAAAATACAACAGCATATAAAAAGAATTACTTCACTAATTATAACGAGCAACCAGAAAGTTTTTAGTCTACTATCAATAAGGGTGCTTCAGTAGTAAACTTTTTAGTCTATTATTCAAGCACCCTCCCTCTTCATCTTGCTTCCATACTAAAGTGGAAACTATTCTGAGAAGTTTTCCCTGTAAAGCATTTATAACTAAGTTCGAACAAACACTGACTGAGAACATTAGGAATCACTGACTTTGCAAGTAAACAACAAGGAGGGATACTTTGGTATCGTCACTGATTATTGCTTCATTGAAAAGGAAGCACAAATATTTTCAAACAGTTACTTGTTTTTTACCTAATAAAAACATTAAAAAAAAGCAGACAAATCTTTTTCTTTTAACATTAAAAAATAAGTAGTTAGAGAAAAAAATTGAAAATTGTCATTTGCAATGGTGGTGTTTGAATGCCCTAAACACTTCTCTTACTTGGTTTGTACTGTTTAATGGTTAATCTAAATATAATATAATGGTAATCTATGCTATCGGAAAGTCTTTTTTTTAATTGATAGAGTGATATTTCTCAACAAGAATATGTATAAATTAAAGACATGGTGCGTAGTGTTTTTAAAAAGTGCTTAAAGGTGCTTATTTTCGATTTTTGTAATTTAAAAGCCCTTAAAGGTGCTTTTTTCATTGGGTGTTTTTAAAAAGGGCTTAAATTTGCCTTTTCAAAAATGAGATTTTTTTTTCTTTACCACGTCGATTTTCGCCACGTAATATGCAAAAGTGTGCTTTTCACATTGTTTTATTCAACGTTATCACAATTCATTCAACCACGATCTATTTTGGCGTACCGTCGTCTATGACGTGTAAAAGCCCCAATCATTTTACATGTTTAATGAAATACTTGCGAGTCCGTATGTGCTGAGGTTCTACTATTGAACTGCGTTCAGTGAAATTCTTATACTGTCATGTGCAATTTGCAAGATATTCTCAATTTCAAGCTTCAATTTTCTGCCTCTGATATTGAACTGAAAAATATCTTGATCATTTTATAATGGTTAATATAATCAAGAAAAGAGTTCTTTGTCAGAAACTAGTTATTTTATCGTGATCATGTAAAGTCTGAAAATTATTTTGCATTTTGTTAATGTATATAGTGCTTAAAAATATTTTTGAGTACTTAAAAAATACTTAAAAGGTGCTTATTTTTTGTTGAAAGATTCAGCTACGCACCCTGATGAATTATCAATACATTATTTTTGAGTTGGTGAAACTAAATATGAAATATGACATATAGAAACAATTTCTCTTCATTTGTAGTAAAACAGAGAACCAAAATGAAATACTGAGTTGCCAACAAGAGAAAGTTGAGAAGATAATAACTGAAGAAGAGAAAACGGAAGGAGCCAAACCTGCTTCTTGGTCCTCCAATACATCAGCAACATTCACCTTTAAAGATCCAGATATGAGCAAAGATTCCCTCGATTATTGTGATGCTGGTAATAAACTGTATTCAGTTAATTTTTTTATTTTAATTTCATATTTATTAGAGCTGACAAATTTCATAACTAGCCAATTTTGTATGCAGGCCATATAATTTTCGTTTTGTCTGTTATTGTCGCTCAAAAAAAATGAGTTGTTCTTTATGTGTAATTATTTATTCATAAAAATGAAATTATATTGCTATATTGACTTTTTGGTTTGCTTTAATTAATTGTTTATCTTTTCTTTTTTTATAATTATTCATTTATCCTTTTTTTTAAAAAAAATTTTTGTGGATCATATTTTCTTCCTTATAAATAATTTCTTTAAAAATGTTTTCATCATACACTACATAAAGTTTAAAACTATTGTCATAAATTACTTTCTGAGTGATTTTCAATTATTCTAATAGTTTTAAAAACATTTTAATGTTTCCAGATATCCTATTATTCCCAGAGTCTATGAAAGATTCCAAGTTGCAGCTAGATTTGGATCTCTTTCCAGATGATCCATATGACATATGTGATGATCCCTTCATCTCTTACAGGGATGATTCTATCTCCTCCCCTGACTCCTCTCTCAACCTGGTAATTCTAATTTTGATTCATCATTTCGATGACAATGTGCAGACTCAAAAGTTGATCGTATGAGTTCCCAACATTTTTTGGATTACCGTTCAAGTCTTCAATGTCCCTTTTTACAGAAAAATATTAAATTAAATTTTTGTTCCTATTTTCATTCTTTTATTATTTTTGTTACGATATACTTTTATAAAAAATCATAAAAATTATTGAAACTGTGCTTATTATTATAGCTAATGCAGTCGAACTTCTATTTAACGAACTTCCATTTTGCGAATTTCTTAGAGGAACCAGGAACATTTTGGAAATTTCATTATAAAATAACTTTCAAATAGCGGAGTAAATTTTCTATTTAACGAACTTTTCTTTGAAATCCACTCTTCCTATTTCCCAAAATACTTCAGAACATTTCAAACTTGTTAAAGAATTTTATGGGGGGAATGACCTTGAATCGATTTTCGAAGCCACTTAACTTACAGAGAAGGCAGTAAAATCCCTTTCCCTTTTTGTTTGCATTTCAAACGAAAAACTCAAACAAAATTAACGGATTTTATCAGAAGCAATTAAAATTAAGAACGTATGTTTAAAATTATTTTTTTAATAAATGCAGCTATAATTTTATACATAAATTTAGCTCTTTTTAGGTTAAAATATATGATAGTGTAACACTGGATAGTTTTTTGCTCTATTCTTGCTTTTCATGCAGATCTCTTTTATGGTGAAGATTTATAAAATGAATAGTAGATACTAGTTTCCAAGGTAACGGTGTATCAATTGTTATTTTAATTATGTCTAGTGTTTATGAATTTAAAAAGATGATTTTCTATTTAACGAATTTTCCATATAATGAACTTATTATTGGGATTTAGCAACTTCGTTAAATAGAGGTCTGACTGTATTTAAATTAGTGGAAATGCGCTGATTGACCATTCTATTCATATTCGGAAGTCTAACTTATCTACTCTGTCAAAATTTTCAGATTTTGAATTGTTAAAATCTTATGTTTATTATTTTGCATTTTATTTTATGACCAGCATTGAACAGCCGGCAAAACTCAGAGTTAACAACTACCAGCTTTCAACTCCGAAGCCTTATAATTTTGAACCAAATCCAGAAGCTAGGGGAATTCCTGGATCAAATATTAGGAAAAGTTTGTCTTTGTGGCAGACTTTCTGATGGGACTAACTTAAATTTACGTTTCATGTAGAGGAAAACCACGAAAAACCCCACGGTTAGCCTGATGGCAAGGGGACTCTTACCCATGTTCCAGTAGTCTTTGCGTGCCAGATGCAGAATTCGAATTGGCCATCCATCACTGGGATTTGTACCTGGGTTACATTATTGGGATGCAAGTACTCTATCCCCAGAGCCATGACGATTCTATTTTTATTATTGTATTAAAATATTTAACATTTTATTTGACATAGTATCAATTACTCTTAATCAATGACTAGTAATATTAATTACAACTGGCCCCTTTAAGTATCTTATTCTCTCTCTCTTTTTTTTTTTAAAGGAAATGAAAATTTAAAATGGGATTAATTGTCTTCTGTCATCAAGTAAATAATGTTTTATTTCAAATATTTTAAAGGTTAAACAAAATTGATTTTCTGTGGATGGTTGACTGTGTAAACAAATCACACTAATGAAACCTCCTAGAATATCAAGCCTGTTCACACATTGCCTCGTAAGCATAAGATAAGCGAAGGGATACAGCGGAGGTTTTCTAAATTTCTTAAGATTTTGGGAAGTTTGTTATTGTTTACATTCAATCCATTAATCGCTTCCCTGATTATCCCGTGTTAACTCGAGTTTGTAGATATTGCAAATATTTATTATCAAGAGTAAACTCGGGTGTAGCAGAATGCGTCAATACGTTTTGTTTTAACACGTTTTTATTCGGCCTGAAGCAAAGCAAAAAAATAATAATAAGATGATTTTTCATATTATGAAAATGTTAGCATATACAAAGACTAACATTTAACTTTTTTTAATGATTCGAGATAATTTGGGATAGTAAACTGTTTGTATTGAAATATTTTTTTTATGTTATAAAAAAGTTTCCTCCCCCCCCATTTTTTTTTTTGTATCCATTTTTAAAATAAACTGTAGAAAATAATGATCATTAGTGTTATTTTTTAGGCCACCAGTAACAGCACATCCCCAGTCCACTTTAACACGACTTCAAACACTCCAGATTCTAATTGTATGCCAGATGTACCGAGCTTAGATTCTCTCAATTTGGAACTTAAATTTACGATGCCCCCCTCTGTCAATGCAGATGTAAGTATTCTCCGGTTTCACTTTAATTCTTTTCTGCCATTCGTGTAATTAGATGTTTTTCAGTTTTTTTATGAATTTTTTCTCAATAATGTTGTAAAAGCAGGATGCATAACATTTTTAAAAAGTGCTTAAAGATGCTAATTTTCAATTTTCGTTTTTTAAAAGCCCTTTAGGGTACTTTTTCACATTGGGTGTTTTTAAAAAAATACTTAATTTCCAATTTTCCGAAATGACATATTTTTTCTAACAATGTTCTCATTTTCGCTAGGAATTATGCAAAAAGACATAGTACACATTGCTCTAGTCAACGTTTTCACAATTCATTAAACCACACTGCATTTCGGCTTACCGTCGGTTCATCGTGTATAAACTCGACTATCATTTTACATGTTTTATGGAATACTTGCGGGTCTGCATTGAGTATACTCAGCTGGAGTGGGAAGGATTCTTGCACTCTCTTTGCATTTTGCAAGAAATTCTTAGTTTCAGGCTTCAATATCTGACCTCTGAAATTGATTTGAAAAATCTCTCAAATTTTTTTCCCCTGATAGAAATTTTTATTTCTTATGTTCATTTCCTCGTGATGAAGCACCATCGTCTTTGCCACTGTCTTGCCATCGTCTTTGCCTTTGGCAAGCTAATGACCTTCTCACATTATTCTATTTATAGGTCAGTACCATAATCTTTGAACTTGACTCTGGGATTATTCACTAATTACTTATTTTCATGTAGGTCCCCAGAGCAATCACAAGTCATCATCATGTCAAAATTTTCATTCAAAATTTTCCCTTTTATTCATTTAATTTAATAAAGATAAGAATTAATTGAGATTTTTATATATAGGATTTTTAACTGAGGGGCCATCCACTAATTGCCTAATTTTTTAATTTTTTATTGCTTTTTTTTTACTTATAGCTTTATATTATTGTGTTATTCTTCTTTGTCAACGCAACTACCCCTTGCAGGCTTTGGCTGCCTCAACAGCTGACAAATGCCAGTGCTGTTAATTTGTTTTAATTTAATAATATTTAGAAGCAATATTTTAAAGAAGTATGAAATGTCAATATTTTATATACTCAACCAATATTCTTTCAATATTTTAAATGCTGCAAAAAAATCTTATGTTTATTCAGCATGTTATTCCAAAAAAATTTAATTCATCTTTTAATGAATTTGGTTTAAAAACAAATGAAAAAAAATTATCTTAGATTTGTTAAATATTCTGAGTGTAGGGACCATATAATAATTTACTTGCAAAAAAAATTTTAAGCTTCAATACTCATTGCATTTACATTTCAAAATTATTTAAATTTTTTTAAACATTTCATTGAAGAAATACTGAAAAAATTAACAAATTTTTAATAAATTATTACAGGCCATTCACTAATTTACATCTGTAATAATATGAATTTATTAAAGTTTTCTTAGTTTGCTTAGTTCTTTACATATCTTTATAAATTCATTATGATCAATAATATTAGACTTAGAGATTGTGCCCCTCCAAAGAGTGGGGAACATCGACCAGAGGTTTATTGTGCCCAAACCCTAAATCATGATTAGCGAAATAGCTTTATAGCTGAAACAAAGTTCAACCGGCACCTGACAAGAATATCTTGTGTAATTCTCAGGCCTGAATGCAATGGTGCCCTAAATGCTCAAATATTTGAGCAGAATAGACTTCACAATCACAAAGTATATGTCATAAAATATTTGCCATAGAGCTTAAATATAGATGTCCTGAAGGATTTGGGAAAGTTCCCAAAGTTGGTTCAGAGCCCCAGAAAATCGCACTAGCCTGTGCTGCTTCATCAACCATCTCATTTTCAAGAATGTCCATATGTCCTGGTACCCAATGTAGGTATACCTTGTTATGACAGGGTTCCCACAGTCTTTAAAAATTCTTAAAAACTGCTTAATTTTTATTTTGTAAAATAAGGGCCCTTAAAAGTACTTAATTTTGTTGCAAGGCTCTTAAAAGTCCTTAATTTTTTAGCATTACTATAGTTGATAGGAACAATTTTGGAGTTCAATTTTTTAAAATAAAATGTCGTTCTTTTATCATTTAGAATTAGACCATGCGTACAGGGTAAAGCATTTTAGAGTGACAAAAATTAATTTGGGGGCGGGGAAGCATGCCCTTTCATTAATATATTTGTTCTTTCATTAATATATTCTGCCTAGAATGATATTCTATGAGGAGAGTGAAGCATTCTAAAAGAAAAGAATAGTGTAGTGTGGACAAGGGGGATACTGCACATGGAAGACATAGTGCCTTCTTTTTCTTGGGGTACCTAAGTAGAAGAGACAGAATTCAAGAAATTCATGATGCATCTGATTTTTTTAGTGTTAGAGAAAATTGTGGTAAATTATGACAAGTTGATTTCGAGCATCAGCATCATGCCAAATGATACGGTTAATCTTTATTTTGATGGACTTTCAGTTTTATGCAGGATTTTGTAGTGTTATTCAGTATTAATACATTGATTGCATCCCCCCCACCCCTTACCAAAAAAGGTGTTCAGCTAGTTAGAACTCTTTATATTAATTTTCTGAAAAGGGTAGATTGAAAAAAAAATATATAAAATTTTTGATAATGAATTAATTTTTCAGGATTTGCGAGCACCCTTTGCCACTGCAGAAGAGGACCTCTGTCCCTTCATCAGTCCTTCCAATTCTGTGATGTGGGGACCTCAAGAGCCTAAAAAGTCCCCGCCACCTCCTCTCGAAAGGTAAAGAAATAAGGTTTAAATTCTCATTGGTATGTTTATAAAGTTAAAGGTTATCCTAAATTATTACACATAATTTGTATTAATTTAGGATAACAATAAAGAATCTTTTATACTTGGTAGGGCACCACTATTCATATGTTCTAAAATATGCTGCATAATTTACGATTATCTGAATAAGCCTTGATTTCTATTATTAGCATAGAGTTGAAATAGTCGTTGTTCATCTAGTAGTCGATCATGTGGTGCAGATATGTTTCCTCATCTCCCATTAGAATGCTTCCTACAAAGTCAACCTTCATCTATGAAAAAGTACCCCATCATAGAATGGAGTTAACATGTCTTATATACTAGTGAATTGGAATTATATTTTTGTACTGGTAGATACACTACATAAATGTTAAAAAAAACTTTGCTTCTCTATCTGTTAGTAAAAAAAAACATTGTTCTGCGTTTCTTCTTCATCGAAACAAACTGACAAGAATTAGAACTAATGATTATGACATAAAAATGCTTTGACATAAGAAAAGATACTATGATTATGCACACTTTTTTTATAGCAATAAAATAACATCAGAAATGCTTTTTTTTTAAAAAAAAATTATTTTTTCAAAATTGGAAAAGCATATAAATAAATATTGGATTTTTTTTTTTTAGTTTTTTCTTTTTTTTACTTTTTATAGTGCACAGCTTAGCAGTAAAAAATTAAAGAATGTATGTAACATAAGCAGAAAAATTTATTGAAATAAGGAAAGTAAAATTTTCTGCTTCACTTCGGTCAAATATCAATAAATTAAAGGTCATAACAACTTTTTATTTTATAAAAAAATTAAATTTAAAAATTTTTTTAAAAGAAAATTATTCTTAAGAAAACTAACATTAAGTTATGTTATCTGTGATTTTAATTTATATGGGGTAAAATATATTTAGAATAATAAAACTTGTATCCCTTAATAGTCATATTTACTATTCATAAGAGTAATATTTTAAAAATATTGTATTTATAATAAATAGCAATATATTTATGAATGTTGTGGATTATGAATGAAATTGAGATTGTGGTTGGGCACAAAAACTTGCTATCGCTTTTTTTTAAACATATGATTTGTTGGATTATGTTTTATAAATTCGTTTATAACGTCATTTATAAATTCAAAAATATACAATTCCAAAGAATCAAAATAACGTAATGCCTTCCATTTTAGTTGCCAAATATTTTTAGAACTTTTTATTCAAGTAGCGAGTTAATTTTTATTCCAAAAGCAAATTCTGCATACAAAATGCATCGAAAGATTACTGATGAAGTAAAATGGATATTTTGTTGCAGAGTGTTATTGAATTGTATTTTGCGTGACCTTTAATTATAAATTTTATCCATTACTTCGATCATTTTATTTGTTAAGTTCGTAGAATTGTCGTATACTTTATTTAAGTTCATTTATGTTTTATTTTTAATTCTAGCTTACTTTTATTCGTATTTTTTGTTTTTAAGTTTATTTAAGGTCTTATTTTAAGTTTTTTTTTTTTTTTTGCAGTCGAAGTTTAGACTTTAATTGAATTGCAGAAAATATAGTGACAAATCTTCTCTACATTTCGCATTTCTCTAACTTCTGCAATACACTTGTAGTACTATACGTCCATTTTTTTAGATCACCTTTAACAATATTTTTGACCATGAACAGAAAAGAAAACGTGCCCTTTAGATGAAACTGTATGATAACTCGTATGGACACTAGTATGATATCTGGACAATAGTATAAGTATTATCTGGATTATATTTACGTCACAATAAGGGTTTGTTTATCGCTTTGCGTACCCCCATTTTAAATTAAACTTCGGAAAACTATTTTAATAACTTAACAAAAACATCATGTAATCATCTACTTTAGATTTCAGACAATCAATCGATGCATATTTTAGTATGGATGTCAGTACTGTAATACTTATGTTGGTTGTTTCCGCCCATCTGGATTGAACAACTTTTAAATTCATGAAATATTAGGGAGATCTGAAAGTAATGTCATTTCGATGCACTTGATATTTGTTACCAAGATTTTATTTTTAATCAAGAATGTATTCACCCTCGTTATCAACAGCCCTTCAATTCCGGATCGTAAAAAAAGGGATTTTTAAGACTATCGAATATTCAATGCGCTGGAGCGTCATTACTTTCCAGGTTTCCTAAATATTTACAAACATGATAATTACAACACAACTCGAGCTTACACCCTTGAGTTTACACACACTTTTATTTGGATTTCGAATGATATTATAGAAAAAATTGTACTTTGAATCCAATTAATGATGAATTTAATTAAAATAAAACATCTTTTTGAAAGAAAAAAAATCTTGTTTGCAAGTGATCCAACAATTAAAATATATAAAATGTGCAATGATTTTAATATTTTATTTTAGTTTCTGGAATTTTCACAACGATTACTTAAATATTTTAAATATAATCAGTTATACTTTTTAAAAAAATCGTTTTCTTTAAAATGTATATCTAAATGTATGTATATTTAAAATGTATTTGAGTGGAATAAAATATTTACATTTATTTTGTGGACTTGAAAAAAATATTTAGTTTATTATAACTCACTTAGTTATTTGGAGTTTTAACAGCTTGTACATTTTATTATCATTATTTATTAAGGAAATTTGAGTTTACTATTAAATTTATTTATCATTACTGAAATATGCTGCATTTATATATTCACATGTATGAGAAATGTATTTACTAATGAAAGGAATTTCAATTTTTTCTCTATCCATGAAAATGCTTTAATATCATTAAACTAAAGTACAAATAAAACTAGTGTTTTGAGTGATGGGATTTTTGGAAAAATGCCGAGAAAGTTTTTAACATTACAGAAAGAGGAGAGAGTGTTTTAAGAGTTAACTTCATTTGCCAGATAAAATTTTTTTTTATTTTTTTGTAAGCAACATAATACTTAAAAAAATTAACTAATTTAAATAAATTAGTTAAATACAATGGAAAATTAGTAATATTGAAAATTCATTAATTAGTTCATTAAATATTGCATTTGTATTTAGACAAGAAATGTTTCCTGCTATTTACTCTAAAATGAAAAATGCTTTTTCGAAAATTAATTGAAATTTAAAAGTATGAAACGATTTTATTTATTCAAAGATTTAGTATAATAAATTAAGCACTAAATATTTTTGTAAAAAATTCAATATTTAGAAAGTGTTGGAGAAAATAAAAATGTAATCTGTTTTTTAAAGGTAAACTTTTGGTTTGATTGGGGTTCAAACATGAAAAAGAACGCAAACTATTCACATCTATTCAAACAGAAATATTCTAGCACAACAGTGAGTGATTTACGATGACAGCTTATACGCCTCTCAATTTGTCAGCAGTAGGAGGTTGAGGGGTAATGAAATATTCTAGTTCAGAAAAAGACGTGATCGCCGCTCCAGAGCTAGAACGTGAACCCGTGCATACACGAGCTAGCCGCTTTTAGTACAGAAATCATGCCCATGATATAACGGGCTTGACGCCAGGAGGGTTAAAATTCAACTCAATCTTTTCTGGTTTTTAGTGATGACACAATGGATAACATTTATTCTATATTCATTTATTTACTGTAGGATTTTTAATATAAGTTCTGTGCTTTTAGTACAATATTCGTTGATCATGTTTTTATATGTTTTTTTAATCTGAAAAATAGATAATTTTTGCAGAATTTATTCTTGTAATTTTTACATATGTATATATTGCAATCACATGTACTCATTTGTTCATTAGGACATCTGACCAAGAATCCACTCGAGTCATTTCCACCAGACAAAATGAAAACTCTCTGAAGTCCAGTCTAGCTGCCTTGTTACAATCGGACATGAAGAAGCCCCCCACCCTCACAACAAACAAACAACAAGAAAAAGTGCGAAAAGAGCTTTCCAAGCGATGGCCTGCTCAGAAAAATTCAACTATGAAACAAAAACAATTCACACCTTCCAGAAATGGTAACAACCACTCGAGTAGTGGGCACATAATCATGCTTGACACTATTCCAATAAAGAAACAGGTTGGAAAGTCCAATGCCAGGCGTCAGAATGAGCGGAAGACTCCACCCTTCGGCTCTCACATTGCCACTGTTAAAGTGAATGATCGTCTGATTAAAGTTCAGGTCTCTGTATCAGAACTTCCAACATCTCCTATTGAGCACAAACAACCGCCAGACCCTCCCCCAAAGAGATTCAGTCCTTCATGTTTGGGACCAACAGAGAGTCCCAAACGCCTGAAAGTTGACAACGGACTTTCATGTTCTGGTAATATATTTATATTAATAGCACTGATTTGCACACTGAAATGTTACAATATTGTTTAATTTCATTGCTTAGCTATCTTATGGCTGTTTTTTGAAAGGCTGTGTCATCACATAAGGCAATTATTTTTGTCTGTAAGGTCAACCTCTTTGACCACCGCCTATGCTGATTCTGAAAATGGCCCTAAACGGCAGTATGAAATAAAGCTGCGACTTTATGAAAATGAAAAGCACTTTTGATTTAATGTTTTATTATTTAAAAAGTTACTCCAAATGCTGACTACTATCTGAACTCATACTTTATAAAATTTGGAAATTATTCATTGATTTTGATTGCATTCATCTAGAAAGGAAAAACATCACTAAATTGACAATGTTTTTCAAAGAAGTTTAATGACTTATAAAATATTTAAGTAAAGTTTGTCCATTCTAAAACCCTGATGATTCATTATGGCTACATGATAAATATAGTTTGAAAAACACTGTTATCTCGATCAACAAGTTTGAATGGCCAATAAATAATTTGCAGCAAAATGCTTGCCATTTCTGGGGTTATGATATAACACGAGTGAGGTTTTTCTGTGAAAGATTTAGCAAACATATATATTAGTTTTATCATCATCATCAATGACTCAAAAGCCCAGTTTGGGCCTTGGCCTTCTCAAGAAGTTTTTTTCAGGCTAACCTTATTATTTTTTTGTTTGTGCTTTATAATTTTTAAGATCAAAAGGTCTTTCTCTTTGTCGTTTGCCAACTGGTCTGACATTGAAAACTCCTTTTGTGGTACGGTCTTCGCCCATTCTGATAGTGTGTCCTGCCCATTTTATTTTTTGTCGTTTAATAAAGTTAATAATGTCAGGTTCTTTATATGATTGATAAAGCTCTAAATTTGTTCTTCTAAGCCACACGAACTTCAAAAAATACTTCTCAAGACCTTTCTTTCAAAGGTACCCAACATAATCTAATCCGTACAAGATGTGGGCCAGGTTTCACAAGCATATGTTAAAATTGATCTTAAAAGAGATTTATATAATAAAATTTTTGTTTTTCTATGAATTACACTAGATTTTATGCATTTTCGAATTCCATTAAAACATTTATATTAGTTTAGCATTAAAACTTTTATATTGTATTAGTTTGAGCCTTCTAAAATTCCTGAATGAATTTAAATAAAAATAAACACTTAAAAATTTTATAAAAAAAAAATCTGAAATTTGTAGTTAGTACACAAATAATTTGACTTTCAAAATGTAATATTATTTTTAATCAAATTAAGTAGAAAAAAATACTAAAAATCAATATGTATTTCTTCCACTATTTTTCATACTGTTTATTATATCAAATATTATATGAATACCTTTATATTTGATAAACATATTTATTATATTGAATAATTTAGGATTGTTGTGTAAATTTATGATTTTTATATCCACCAATGCAAATTTTTTTGTTTATATATAGCAAACTTCATGTTGAATTTGTTGTGATTTGAAAGCTTTCCTATTGTTGAAAGTTCTGCAATTCGATGTTTTAAGAGAGAACCATTTTTAATAGCTTCTATTTATGTGATGATAGCAGTTGAAAAATGGATTGTCAACCTTAACTTAATGAACTGATGATCCCAGTTGTCTCAATTTTTTGTGAAATTCATTAGAGATGACGGTTTTTTTTTAACGAAAAGTTCAATATCAAAACCAAATAAAGTTCAATGCATTATTTTTAAACTGAATCATTTTATGGTAATGTTTTTAAAAATTTTTAAGCTAATTTTTTACATATATGTAAAAAATTTGATGTTCAGTGATTGTTACATTTTATTTATTTATTCTTTTAAACAGCATCAAACTAATGCTTTTTTCTACAAGTAGAAGGGATTCATACTTGTCACACTTTTATTTAAAAAAATTATTTTGACCCCTCTTTACCATTCCATCCTATATTACAAAAATTTGCTGTTCCAAAGCAAAATATGTGCTCAAAGTTTTCGTTTTTTAACAATGCATTCATTGATATTTGTAAGCTTAACAATTGAAAGATGTGTTCTTATTTTGTTGGAAAATATTTTTAAAAAAATATTTAGTCTGCTGATTTTTTTAGTTTCTATCAAAATATTTGATGCCACACTTTTTACTCTCTGTCACAATTTTAGGAACCCCTTCCAAGTATGGCATTTCTGAAAGGTCTCTTTACCTGTTCTGTGAATCAAATGCTGACTTTGTAATGTCCAATATTTGATTGTCATGAAATTAATGCTAACACTTGTGTTCTTTAAATAAAAAAGTGTTTCATATTCTTGGAAATCTCAAATTTATTTAAAGCTTAGAAATATTTTCCTTTATGAAAAAAAAAATTATATTTTTTTATTCTAAAAAAATCATTATTTTTATCAGTGGTTATTGAAACTACATTATTTTTGTATTTTATTCTTTGTTACAAATGTCGTTAACTACAACTACCTTTTTTTTTTTTTAATGTAGTGACTGCAAACTATTTGGAATTGTAGTGAACTGTGAGGAACCCAACTTAGCCGGAGAAATTAATTAACACATTAATGTTCAAAATGGTTTTGAATAAAAAATTGTCTTATATTAAACATGAAGAATTATTTAGAAATATTTATTATGTTTACGCAAGCCAGTTTATTATTCTAAAACATTTTTTTTTTAATTTGTTCATTTAGTCTTCATCCCTGCCCTTCCTCACAGTGACCTTCTTCAACTTCAGCTTTTTAACCTTCTCTTTAATTTAAGAGATGCTAAGAAATTATCAAATGCTTGCAATTTGTTGTTTGTTTAATGCTCTAAGAATTTCCTCTAAAAAATTAAGTACATCAAAAATATGTTTCTTTCCATTTATATAAAATCTATTTATTATGAGTGTGCATTTGCATGTGAAAGTGAGACCAAAATGATAAATTATCTGTTATTCATAATGTCATAACTTAAAATGAGTTATATGTGACTCTAAATTTGCAATTTTTGTTAACTTACAGTCATGGGGTAAAATTGTGCCCTTTGACAGATCCACAAAGATTTGTACCCATCAAACTCGAAAAATTAGTTTTGTTTGAATCCTGTATATAAAAAGTAGTTGACAGAAATCGCTATAAGCTGCTTTTTTCTCTTATCACACTACTCACTACACATTTTTTTTTTAAAGTAGCACACAACACTTCAACTGCGAAAAAAGTAGCAACTACAGTAGTTTCACAACTTGTAACTACAACTACGAAAAAAAGTAGCGACTACAGTAGTTTCACTACTTGTTACTACAACTACGAAAAAAAGTAGCGACTACAGTAGTTTCACTACTTGTTACTACAACTACAAAAAAAAGTAGCAACTACAGTAGTTTCACTACTTGTAGTGTGACCACTGATTTTAATTGTACTTGAATGACTTGATTTCTATCACAAATGATGTTGTGATGCACAAAATTTACGATAGAAAAAAATTCTTTTGTTACCTTACTAAAAATAATTTATAAAGTCAGAAAAACAATTTTAGCTAAAAGCAACAAAAAATTTTAAAAATTAAAAAAAGTTTTTTTTTCTAAGGTTTTTTTAATGATTTGGCAATTTATATTTTATTTTGATGTTGCTATTCTAACTGTAACTTTATCTTTATTTTTGTGATTGTGTTTGTGGTCGTCTCTTTATTATGTCTTAGTTTGTGTACTTTTAAGTAATTAAGACTCACTTTGATATTGTTTGTCATTATTTTTCTTTGCATTTTCGTATTTGATTTTCCATTATGGGGCCTCGAGGCACTGTCAGTTTTTGGTTTCACCACTGACAACAGAAAGGCTCCTGTGTGTTAGCAGGCAGTGTGTCCCCTTGATGACATGCTCTCCTGTTAACTCACATATCTTAAAATTTTATAATTGTTGTTGTTTTTTTCTGGAATTGTTCTTTTTGACTTTCTAAATTAAAATAAAACAAATTTGGATTTAGCTGCTTTAAGCGCTTTTCTATTTTGATTTATTATTTTGAATGTTACTTACTTATTTTGTCCTTTTTCTGAATTTATAAATTAGTTTTATTCTTTTATTAGACTTACTAAAAATAGTTATTAAAATTCTTGATGCGTGTTATGAAAAATTGAGAAAAAGTTTAGAATTTTACTATTTATTTGGGAATTTGTTCTACTTTGGTTATGATTTGAATCATAAAAAATTAAACTGGTGTATCAGCAATGCTGCTGCTTTTTTAGAATTTAATTTGTGTTTATATATATTTTACTATTATGAGATTAATGAAATTATTTTATACTTTTTGGGATAATTCAAATTAACATCCTTGTTTTGTAAATTTAGGTCCACTGAGAGACAGTGTGCTCTTAAACCTTCTGATCAGTGGAGAAGATGCGAGTCGAGGCTACCTGTGTTCTGGCAAGAACAGATGTTCTAATAACAAGGTATTTTAAGTTATGCATATTATTATGGTTTAAATTTTCTACCTGTAGTATAATTGTTATATATAGATCCCCCGTATCAGAATCATTGCGACATTGTCGCAGAACGTTACAATGTTCTTGCAGAAAGTTTTCTTTTCTACAGAAATTTACAAAAATTTTTTTATTCTTACATTTCAATAATCACTTTTTGGCGTGCTGAATTTCCAACTCAATGCTGATAGCATCGTACATCAATATAATGTTTTGATTGTATTTTTGGTGATTATTGATTTGCGTGTGGTTCTTAAATATCCCAATATTTATTTGAATTTAATGAATTCAAACAATATGGGAATTTCAAATCGTGTATTTTGGGTATTTACTTTTCAAGGCCAAGATTCTATCGATCTATTGGCTGTTATTGTTATTGATTCTCCATATCTCTGTAGATCTGATATAGATATGATATCTCCATAAATTTTAAATCCAAAATTTCTCTCGATATTATTTATTACAACTACCTAATCTCGAGGGCCGTGATAGCCTGGTGGGTAGGGCGCTGGGCCCGTGTCCAAGAGTTCGTGGGTTCGAACCCCGCCGGCCGAAGACTCCCCATGTAGTAAAGTGACTGATGCGCGTTAAATCTGTCGAGTCACAAAAGTCCTCCATGCTTCCGTATCAAATCAAAACCTCTGGGGGTTCTGAATTGGAGATCTATCGTTCTCTGATTCATTTCAAAATTACGATCTGTGGGAGAATGAATAGATGTATGAATGGGTGCGCCCTATAAACGGGTGTGACGTATGGTGTGGCAGAAGTCGAATTCTTGGCCATAGATGGCGCCACTGGGAAAACAAGAACAATCGCACCCCCTCTGCCTAAACAGGCATACGACAACAACAACAACCTAATCTCGAAACGAAACATGCGCTTAAGTAATTCTTTGAGGAGAAAGATTTGCATGATTTCGTTGTCAATTTTTTGTTCGGCAATTACTATACTATGGTTTTTAATTATTTTTTTTATTGTGATGATTATTTACAAAATGCAAAGAAGAAAATAATTAGTGCACCCCCCCTCCCCGCCCCCACAACAAAATGCAAGAATATCAAGTTTTTTCTTTTGTAAACACAGCGCTTTTGTTATTTAAAATTAGTAACATCAGGGTTGCCACTGGCTACTAAAATGCACTTATTTGCTACTATTTTCAGCATGAGGCGACTATGGCAACTTTTTTTGCTTGAAAAGGCTAAAAAAGCAACTGTTTTCAGGAAAAGGAGACTTTTTGGTATTCCTAGCAATGTTTTTTAGCGTAAATTGGGTTCAAAACCTGCAGCCCGTGCAATATTCTGAACACACTGAATTTTTTTTCTTAAAAAATAAAAAATATAAAATGAAAATAATAAAATTTTTAAAAATTAAATAAATAATTAAGAAATGAAAAATTTTAGATTGCAAATTTGAGTCATTGCTTTTTAATGCGTTCAATTTGTACAGATTCTATTGTAAGTCTATTTCGTTTCTCAATCACCTTTTCAACGGTTTTTTCTACGAAATTCTGCATGATTTTAAAAAACCCAATTTTTAATATGATATTACGATGCATGAATTTTGAATTTGAGTTTGAATTGAGTTCCTTTCACAATATATATATATATATATTTATATATTATTTGCTAAATCAATTATTTTAAGTATTATCAAAATAATCTTAGAATAAGTATTATCAAAAAAACACTTATTCTAAGAAAATTTCTTAGAATAAGTGTTTTTTTATTTAATGAAAAAGTATTTTTTGAATGAATTCTATTAATTAAAAGTATTTAATTTTCTGCAATTATACAAATTTTTTTATATAAAAATTTACTACTAATACACTAGCGTTTATACAAAAATTATCATATTTGCCACCAACTTGACTAAATGGATCATGGTACATGACAATTATGTCATTCAATAAAATTGTAGTCTTTTTTTAATTTTTTATTTTATTTAGGCAACTATTTTCATAGTTTTCGGCAACTATTTTCATGCTCTGGGCTACTAAAAGCAATTATTTTGTTCATTTTTTTCTGTGGCAACCCTGTAATATGTATGTTTGTCATTATTGAAAGTATCTTGCAGAAAGATATCAGTGATAGAGAGTTTTGTCAGAGATAGCTCGAAAAAATTCTGCCGCAGGGTGTAGATCCTAGGCTTATTATAAAAATTTTTCCCTTTAGCTAATAGTCTTTTATCTTTTATAATTATTGCAATCAATTATATGACTAAGCTAATTATGAAATATGTGAGGAATTACAAAACAGGAGGGAATTCTTGAAGCTTATTGCCATAAACCTCTAACAACAACCAAATCTGTATGTTAAGACACACAAACAGGTTTGGTTGTAGCCGCTGCTTCGGTTGTCTCCAAACCAACTGAAACCATCTGATCTGATGTACCTCAATCTTCTGCTGGCAATGTTTTGCCATGGAGCATTGATGGCAGAGGTGGACTAGGTGGTCGGAGAAGGGTTAGCTTTTTGGGAGCTTTGATGTTTATGATTGTTGTTGATATTTGTCACCATTTTAGATACTAATAAATAATATAACACTTGTTGCTAACTATCTGTAATAAATCTTGAGCAATGAGTGGTATATTTTTTAATTAGTCTAAAGGTATCACTGTTTTCTTAATTATCCTTTTTTTAATTTGTTTAAATGACTTTCTTATGATGTTTTCCCCTCCTTTTAGATTGACTCACTCCAAACGATCTCTCCGAGCGATGTGAGTGATAATACAGAACTTTTAGCATCGGACAGTGAGCTGTTGGACTCTTTTCTGAAAATTAGCCAGTACGATGCTGAAATAAATGCCCCTATTCAATCATCTCATCTGCTTCAAGGGGACGATTTGTTGAATGCTCTTGATCACACGCTACTGCTTAGGAATGTCCCGACACTTGTCTAAATCTGAACACACACACACATTGTGCCTACACGGAGTGGAATAATTCCATTATTCACTGTAAATTGAGATAAATTTTATTTTTTATTGTGCATCTTGTTAAATGAATGACAGACATCTTGACTTTATTTTGGCCAATTTTTCCTGCAAATACAGAAAAGGAGAGACTGTAATAAAATTTGAGTTTTTTTTACTAATATATATGAAGCATTATTCTAACTTTTCATTTTGTAAATTCTCAATTTTTAAGCTTTATTTTTAAATTCTTCCGTATTATGTTTTTTTTTTTATAAATTCAGTTTCTTTTTCTTTTTACCTTTCATAAACTTAAATACTATATTCTGTGTGAGAAAGAATAGTATTATATAATAATTTGTTTTTCTTACTTACTACAATTTTGACCTTGTGCTAGAAACAAATAAAAATTCAATGCTATTTATGAAAATAATTTATTGAAATTGTTCTGGTTACAAATAGTGAAAGATGTATATATTTCCTATCTCTAATAAACATAACTATAATGTTGTTAAATGAAAATAGTTTAACTATTGTTTTGTAAAAGTTCTATAATTATATTCTCAAGAAGCTTTAATTTCTTTTAATTAACGAGGGCCTTATGTAGGAACTGAAAATGCATTGTGGATTATAAAGAAAATCATATGTTATAGAATAATGTTATTGTAGAATTAAAGTATAATTTATTAAATATTTTGTCGTAAAGCATAAATTAACTGTGTTTAAATGAAATATTAAGCTAACTGAGACAAATCAATTCATATCTTAAAGTATGAAATGTTTCATGTCATAATGGTTTATTAGAAAGAATATTATTATAGCATCACATAAGTTCCAACTCTTGTACTTTTAAAATGAAATTTGTCTTTAATTCTTGAAGAGACTTATGGTTAAGCCTTGAAAAGATTTGTTGTGATAAGCCACACTAAAAAGAGGAAAGATTATATCAAGGTTTTGAAAAATTAATCATCTTGAGATAAAAATTTATCTGTGTTTTTTATTCGTCGTTTTTCCTTACTTATTTGACTTAATTGTACTAATAAAAAAAAACCTGGGCATAGAAAATATTTATAATTTTTAGACTACAATCTTTTTACATTTTTTCATAACGAATTAATAAACGTTTTTGTATTGGCTTGTTGTCCTAAAAAAGAAGTAGTATCTCCACTTTATTAAATTCAAAATAGTGCTTTTAAATAGAACGGACCTGCATGAAAACTTTTATGAATTTTCAAAACTGTATTTTAGTCGTAAGTACTTAATACTAGGTTTTAGAATCGTATTGAAGAGAAAAACCAAAAATAACAAGAAATAGAGAAACTGCTTTCGTGATTAAAACAACAGTTTATGTCAAAAACTACTGTTTTATTGCTTAGAGCAACAGTCTAGGTCAAGAGATACTGCTTTCTTGCTTAAAACAAGTCTAGGTCAAGAGATACTGCTTTCTTGATTAAAACAACAGTCTAGGTCGAAATAATGCAAATAAGGAGTGGCTTATCATATCACAAGACCTAATTGTTTTTTTTTTAACTAAAATATCTTTACTATCTAAATCAGATCTATATTACTTCCTTTTACTCATGACTTTTTTAAATTGTGTCTCATTATTCCCTGGCATTCATCTGATTATTGTATAGATCATGAATGTTGTAAAATAGTTGTTGACATTCTTCATTTGACTGTCTTTGTGTGTGCTGTTCCTAATAAAAGAATCGAAGAAAAAAAAACTCTGGGTGTATATTTGATATTTCAATTGTGGCTTTTGACCTTCTAAATGTCATTGATCAAAATAGTTTATGATAAATAAAATGAAAAATGTAGTAGTGCATCCTTTGAAGACAAAACAAAAAAAAAGCCTCTATAAATAAATCTTTTTGTACACAAACAATGCATTCTTTTATCATTAAACATTAGTGATAATTTATTCTTTAATAAAACACTTTGTTTCATTATTTAATAATTTTCTTTTTTAATGTGAGAAAATAATATTTTTTTTATGATAAATATGATGGAAAGTTTAATGTGACACGTTTTTCAAATTGTATTGATGTTTTTTCACAGTAATCTATATTTCAATTGAAATCCTCAATTACATGAAGTACAGTCAGCACTTGCTGAAACAATCCCTGTTGTCTATGCAAGAATAAACATTACACCATAAATTCAGAGAAATGTTGCAAACATTAACTCATACCTAATGGTTACGAAATTTATTTTGACAAAACCATATGCAACAACCTGTATAGTTTATCAATACTAAAAAGTAAGTGATATGTTAATTTAATTGTTCTTAATTAACATCAAATGTTAATTTGTTGTATTTTTCAATGACCACAATCACCTAAGATAAGACCTGAGAGAGTCCTCCCATTTAAGGTTTATTGTGTTCAATTTGTGCTGACTTAAAAAGAAATTGTGATTTAAAATATTTCATTGAAATTTTTGTTACTCATTGAATCCTTCTCAATGAAAGTATTTTTATTTTAAAGTTATTTTAAAAGTGATTTTCTATGAATAAAAAAGAAGAGGAACTAAATTTCAGTTGCTGTATTAAAATTAATAGTTGATATCAAACATTATAATGTATTGTCAAAATAATAATGAGTAATGTATTTGTTCATTAGAGTGGCTGTTATAGTAATGGTCATACTAACGAGTGTAGACTGCATATAATTATTTTTTTAAATTAGGATGAATTGTGTCTACATCCTTGTCCATGCGATGCATTATTTTCAAAAAATGGTTTTTGTTGAAGAACAGTTTTTGAGATGGAAAGATTGAATAATGTTTACATTAAACTATGTATGGTTGATTACAATAGTTCTCATCACTCAGAAATATTTCTCATTTAATTTTTTTTCATGAAGCTGGGTCTATAACAAAAAGTTCTATTCAAGAGAGGGTTCTATTCAAGAGTTCTACTCTCTCTCCCTCTTTTTTTTTCTTGAGTGATTGACGACATCTTATATTTTTTAATTAATAATATGATGCTTCTATATTTGTTAACTATCTATAATATAAATAAATATACTTATTTGTTTTAATATTAATTTTATTTGAATAAAAAGGTAATTTTTTGCCAGTTTTCTAAGGTGGGTTGAACCCTCTCTTCTGATTTCAAGCTTGTCGTGAAATCTAATTGATATTGTTCTAATGACTATGAAGTAACTTTTAATTTATTTTTCATATATTTTCATACATGACTAAAACTCAAATTGTAATTAAATAGTATATTTTGCAATTATAAGAAGAAGAAGGGGAAAAAAAATACAACGAAAAATATACCATCCATTAACTATTGCTAAGATCAGATGCACTGATCTTTAATCCTTTTATGGTGCTTATTATAATGATAATTATGGTTATTGTTAATGTATAGATGTTTATTCATTAATTCTATATGTTGCTTCATTAAAAACATATATTTTTATTGTATTTACAACTGTATGAAATTTCCATAAAAATATCCCACTGTTGAAAAGTTGACTTCTAAAAAATATATACGTATGTATTTTTTAAATTTAAGATTTTTTTTTAATGTCTGTCTAATTGTTTGCTTGATTTTCAATAACTTATTTTTACTATGGCTTTAATTTCTCTCATTATTTTACAATGAAAACTGATTTTATCGCTCCTATACAATATATTTAGCAGAAAACTTTAGTACAATGGAAATCATTTTGAAAACTGTTGATATTCATTTACAATATTGTTAAAACTTTTGAGAAATACAGTAGGGAACCGATTATCCGGAACGATCGGGGCCATCGCTATTCCGGATAACTGATTTTTCCGGTTTTCTGAATAGCTGCAAAAAGCCGTTTTTTTATTGTTAAACCCAACTAAAAAAGAATTTTTTTTTGGAAATAATCTTAAAAAGAAGAAAAAACGATGAAGTAATACACTAATGATTATTTCCAAAATGATGGTAAGGTGAATATCTTTCAAAAAAGAAAGAAAAATCCTAAAATCTTATGAGGAAAAAAAAATTTTTTTTTTTAAAAATGGCGGGAAAATTTATCGAATTTCGTTCCGGTTTTCTGGTTTTCCGGTTTTCTGATTTCCGGATAACGGGTTCTGTACTGTACTTGAATTTGAAAGCAGAAAGACCTCAAGTAATAAAGAAATAAATATTGGCAAATTATTTCAAAAATTGTTGTTCCTTTTCAAAAAGAATATTAAAATCTGTTGTGAAATATATTTGATTCCTTTAACTGTAAGAGATGTTTCTTTATTTATTTTTTTCTTTCGTTTCTTTAGAAGAACTGCTGTAAAAGAGTTCATTTAATAAATAATAAGTTTTTGGACTTTAAAGTTTTGATTTGTTATTTGAGTTTTTTGTCTATTTCAAATGGTATTATTATAGTCCAGTATTTATTAATTTCAGACAGTGATGATCAGTATTATAAACAATGACGTGTTTTAGTTCTCCAATGGTATATATAAGCACTTATATCGAAGAGAGCACTTATAACAATCATTACATAATTCTTAAGTAATGTATTTTCTGTGATTCAAAAGACAAAGGAGGTATTTTTAAATTAAAAGTTTTCAAATACTAGTTGGAAATATATTGTACCTGTAAGTTGTTAGAATTCTCTAAAAATGTTTTTGGAAGACAAATAACAATACAAATAACAAGAACATTGTTTAAGACAAATAACAATAAACATTTGTTCAAAATTTATAACAATCATTACAAATGCTTTACTGAATTTGTTACATATTTTGTTTGATTTGGAACGAAAGACCAATAAAGTATTTTTAAAATTAAAAATTTTGAAATACTGGTTATATATTCCAACTGTAATTTGTTTAGAATACTTAAAAAAAATTATACTTAATTCTTTTAATTTGTGAAAATGTTTATTTTAAGAGATGTTTTTTATTTTAATTTCCATATTGCTTATTATTCTAGTCCTTTAAATTATGCAGATAGGTTAAGAACAACTTAAAAAAAACTACTAAAACTGGAGGGGGGTAGGAATCTTAAATGAAAAGAAAATTTAACTTTTTATTTTCTTCCCTGTTTTTATAATTTACATTACGAACTTAACTGAGGCAAGGATAAGTTGTCCGGGATAAGAGTTAGGAATAATAAGTCCATAATTATGTGAACAATTGTAAATGTTGTGGTTTTCCATATCTGTGCACAATTTGTAGGACTTTACTTATTGTGTAAAAATTAGTACCTATGCAAACTAGTTGAGAAATAAAATATAAATACAATTTTGTATTCTGTTTAACTGCCAACATAAATATATGTTCACTAATATATAAATTTAATTTGTTTATTTCATTTTTTTTTTGTTTGAATTTTGTGTGAAAATTATATTGAATAAACTTGGTTGCTAGAATGTCCAAAAAAATGTCAAACACTTTTCTTTTTTACTTGAAATTTATCGAATTGTTCTTTTTGTGAAGATTCATAATGTTTAAAGAGATTTAAATGTGTATAAAATGATCCACTCTTTTTGAAATCTCTCATATTAGAAGGATTTTTTTTTCTTTTTCTTCATGTGCTTCATTGATGTTGTGTTCCCCCGTTCTTCATTTCAAAACTGAATGCCTCACAACCATTTTTATCCACTGCCATGTATTAATGTTTATAAACTGTGTGTGAAAAATATGTATATGACATATTAGGTGCTAAAAAGAAATAATGTTCTTCATAGATTTTTATTTTTTGCTTATATTTTTGAGAAAAACAAAGTGACTATCCCTATAAATATACACTTTGCATAATGCCAGTTGCATCTCACACAAATATATATTCGTGCGTGTGCTATTTTGTATTCATCTTATCTTATTTTACTTTTAATTGAAAGAAAATTAATTAATATGTATTTCGAATGAAAGAACAAAGCTTTAAATAGTGTTTTTATTTTGGATACAGATGTTGAAAACATAATAATAATGTTAAATGAAGTGTGTTCTTTTCATTTGCAAGGCAACAAGGAAATCCTATATGTGTCAAATCAGGGTTGTCACTTCACAGGGAAAACCTGGAAAATACAGGGAATTTAAAAGTCACCTAAAATAACAGAGAAAATGCAGGGAATTTTGGTTGTTTCTTTAGAAACAGGGAATTTTGTTTCTTATTTTTGTCTTTTAAAAGATGGTAACCACTCAAAGCGTTATCTATGGGAAATTTAACAGATATTTCAGCTATACTAAACTATTTCATTTAATATAGCATTATTTAAGTTTGTTCAGCTGTTTTTCCTGGAATTAAAACTAATAAATATAGTTAGCCCAATATGGCTCTCACAAGAGCACAGTAATTGTTGTTTCCTCTTAATATATTGTGTATAATATACATGGGGAAAACACAGGGAATTTTTTTTCTCCAGATTTGAGTGGCAACCCTGCCAATGCTAATTGAATAATTTGGCTCTTTGCAAGTGTCATCATCTTTTTAAAATGTAGCCAAAGTCTTCAACATTTTCTAATCTGTCTGATATTAGGCTTACTAATTGAAAAAAGTCTACAACATCTTCCAATCTGCTGACATTTTTTAGATTTCGCCTTTATGCTTTTAGATCTCTCTATCTCTCTCAAATCATTTGAGAGGTAGATGGTGTAATTTTTAATAATAAATAGGTCAATTGCAACAAAAATAAAAAGGACTGATTAAAGACTTTACCAATGAACCATATGAATTGCAAAATAACCAGGCACATTTGCCATATTCTTCAATTAGCCTAGGGCATATCTAGATCCTTTATTTTTCCTTTTATTTTTTTGAACTTAAAATTTGAAAAAAAAAAGTGTTTCGAGTGAAATGTTTTATTTTAATAAGTTTTTGCAGTAGCATCGAACTTTTTTTTTTAGGAAGAATATTTTTCAGTGTTTTATAGTTTATATAGTACACGTTTAATAGTTTATATCCCTTTAGCAATAACTTAGATGAATACTACTTATAATCCCTAGAATGGTAAAATGCATTTAGAAATAATTATAGTTTAACTGTTCTCGAGTATAGTTTCAAAATAACTTTAAAAGGATACCATAAAATCTCTATTATAGTCTTGTTTGCTATATATTATCAATATTATGGGACAGGCATTTATTTCTGTTTAACTCATTTAATATTTTTTGAAAATGAAAAAAATATAGTATATGATTCAAAAAAATAAATCTTATTATAATTCAGTTTTGCTTATTATTTTTGTTTCGTCAGTGCCAAAATCATTATTTTTATTAATAGTGGATGCACAAATTATGCGTCATTAATTGCATGCTATACATAATATTTATGACAAGTAATAATATCATTTGTTTTATAGCTTATGTTACTAAAAGCTTGTTTACATACTTTACCCATTTCAGTTTTAAATCGAACTATGTACTGTATGGCAGTCAAAGTATGACCTTTATGTATATATTTTTAATCAGACATAAAAGTGCAAATCATTTAATGTTGCGCTTAGTGAGCATGAATACACTCTTGCAATATGGCCTCTGTACATCTGTTAAGAAGAGAAATATATGTAATTTATTCAGCAGATTTATGAAATGTTTATTGTGATTGTTTTTACTATGTGATGAGTACTATTTTGTTCTATTATTATTCTATTGTATGAATCTTTTAAAAAATGACTGTGTTTAAAAAAGCATTTACCATTTTGCATCACATGTAAGTAGTATTTTAGTATAAAATAAAGATATTCTGCTATTTTTTCTTTTTTTTTCATATTCTACCATGTAATTGCCCATATAATATATATATATATCATAATAAATAAATACGAAAAGGACAAAAAGAAGAAAAAACGAGGAAAATTAAGAAAAACAATACGTTTTATTTACTGAGCATAAGCTGCAAGTAAATAGAACTCATAAAATAAGTTCAAAATGTAGAGAAAATTACAGAACAATGATGAAAGGGAATAATAAAAATCTGGAGAAAAGAATTTGTTAATATCCAGAAGAAGAAAAAAATTTCAGAAAAAAGAGACGAAAAGCTAGAAAATAAGATATAATCTTTTCATCAACTCACACGATTATATCCACAAAAAGGAGTGCTTTCTAATATTGTATCAATATAGCCAAAGCAAAATATATCATTGTTCTGTAATTTGTTTTTCATGTTTTCTCTACATTTTGAGCTTATATATATATATCAGATCCTCGCCGAGAGGGGGAAATAAGCAAATTTCTGGCACCAGGCTATACGTAATTATTATTTATTTAGACATATTCATGAAGATCCAAGTGACACAAAATCGAAATGCTCTTCAGTAGAAATTAAGGTTTTTCTCAGATAGTGAAAGGGAAAACTGTGCAATGTTAAATAATGCATAACTTGGAGCCAAAAATAGATTAAAGGACAGTAGGATGTGAATATTAAAGTGTAAGAAAGAATGTTTTGTTCAGAATAATAAGATAGATAAGAATTAGATAAAAATATTACTTAAAACTTATGTTACACACGCATGTATAAGAGAGTGCTGTAAGACCAGATTTCTCGATTGTGTTGAAATTGTTTTCTAGCGGACAAACTCTATATTATTCCTCTTGTCAGGACCTACCATATTGGCGTGTTGTTAAATGATGTCTCTCTACAATACTTATATATGAGAATAATTAATGTTTTTAATTAATTTAACACTCTTTCAAACCTTTTAATTATTCACCCCCCAGAGGAAAGCTTCCTGTTAATATTTTTTTATTTTAATTTCTATGAAATTAAATTTTAGATTATGAGTCTTAATTTTGACGCGATTAAAAGGTTAACGCAAAATAATAATATAAACAAAGTAAAAAATTGGTAACAAAAAAAAAATTACATTTTTACGTTTAGCATAAAATTTATCCGTTTCCTAAGATAACAAACACATCCTTGGTTGGTTACAATAAATATTAATATGTAATGTTGCATTCAGCTTTCAAATGACAAGGTTAAATCATTTCACAGATAAATGCAAAAATATGAAAAGCACTCCTAAATAACAAATGTAGTCAGTTGCGTTAAGAAATCTTTATGGGGAGAGCCTGTTTGCATCTGAGTCACTAACAAGGGAGACTAGGAAAGTGTGACTCGCACCAATTTTGAAATAAACTAGTGAGATGTTATGAGGTATAATTTTAGGAGGCAACATTCGTTTCGGCCCATAGAAGGTCCCATGAGAGATAAAAATTAATTCAATATACTGATAAATCGGTATTTTATTACTTCAATGCAGTAGTTATTGTAATTATCTCATACTCCAATTAATTTTGTGGAACTTTCATTATATAGTACGAAGTACCACAAAATTAATTGGAGTATGAGATAATTACAATAACTAATAGTCTTGTAGCGTAACTACCACTACGAAAATTAACATCAATTCACTGGTATATCAAACATGCTAACTTGATTCGATCACGTGGTGCCTTTTGATAGATGAAGGTTGGCATTGTCGATAACTCCGCCCCCACAGTTTGCATTGAAGTAATAAAATACCGATTTGTCTATATATTGATTTTTTTTTTATCTCATAGGACCTTTTATGGGCCGAAACGAATGTTGCCCACTAAAATTATTCCTCATAACATCCCACTAGTTTATTTCAAAATTGGCGCGAGTCACACTTCCCTAGTCACCCTTGTAAGTGGATACTTAGCTCCCAGCGCTCTCATATATCAACATCGCCAACTCTTGAAACTAAGTTGCACAACTTTCTTTTTTGCTTTCTTTCTTAAATCGAGTGAATGAGGAAAATAAAACTTATAGAATAAAAACTAATGTTTTGTTAATAAGACTTAATAAAAATAATATCTTAAAGTCCTAACAATACATCTCTCTGTTCGTATTTAAAGAACCTGATGAAATAATTATAAATATTGTTTCTTGCAGACGATTTTTATTTACAGCGGAAAAAAAAGGTTTTAAAAAAATAATTCTTCATCTTGCATTTGATTTGTTAGGGTATGTCAGTATTAAGACACGCCTTTTATATAAGGTCTGTTTGTATTCCTGAGGGCTTAACTCAAAGTTTAAATCCGTTGCCAAATTCATAGTTCTTAATGTCACAAAAACGTTTAATCGGTTCAGTTGTTTTGGAATCAAAACAAATTTGGGTGCTATAGAAAAATGAGAATGAACTATTTTCACTAAAAAGTTTAAATTTATTTTGTTTTTTAATAGTTAAAAAAGTCTTGATTTTGTAATGTACTCATCAAATTTAATAGTTGAAAAAATTCAAAGTTCCATAACTTAAGTATATTATTTTTCAAAACTTATATCACAGAATAGCTATTTTTAAATCGTTTAAAAAGAACACTTAATTCTCTTCAGAATATTATTACCAATGTGAGGATTGCAACAATTTCACTTTCAAAAGGTATGATGAAATGAAAGTTCACTTTTATTATTCTACTGGTAAATTTCAAGCTTTGGTTTTATCATCAATCATTTTAAATTTAGAATACTAATTTTGAAGCTGTAAATAGATTGAGTTCGGAGGGTTGGTCTTCTGATGTTTCACGATGTTATGTATCTAAAATTTATATGACATCCATTCTTGATGAAAATTTTCTTTATCTACTCTTTCAAAAAAGCAAATAAAATGTTCAAGTAACATCTTCATGCTTTGGTTGCCTAAAGATATCAAAAGCTGTTTTTCCGATGAACGAACTTTCACGGGAAAAAGACCGTCCACGCGGACGTCAGATTCGAGAAATTCGTTGACCACGGGGAGTTTTGAACAGCCGAAAACGGGGGATTTTTCGAGTTTTGTATTATATATATTTTAATTTTTTTTCAATTTTTTTCTTCTTTTGTTTATTTTACATAATATTATTTATTTAAAGTGTTTTTCGATATATTAAAGAATCCCATAGATAAAAGAGAATTTTTATGTTCGGGAAATTTCAAATAATGCTGAAAAACTGGAAAATTCCCGGAAAATTAGTTTATTTATATTATATTATTTTTTTAAACTCCTTTTACAATATTTTCACGATAGTTTAACAGGCGCAATTTTTTGTTCTAAGTATAAAATCAAGGGTGTCTCTTTGTGAAAAAAAGCATTATGGAATAAAAAATAAAATAAAATGAAAAGGCGGGAAAAAGGATCAAATTTCAAGCCTACCTACTTCCTTATAATATTAAGCTATAATTTTCAAACTCGGACCGAAATTAGGCCTGTATGAGGTGAACCCCTCTACCAAAGCATATTTTTATAGCCCAATTAGGGGGGAAGCAATGGCCCCTTAAGTCTTTTGTTTAGCAATCCGGGAGAGGGTACTTGAAGCTATGTTGCATCGCTATCCTCGTATAAGCGTGGTCCAACGGCTAAGACCATGTGCTAGTGACTTACGCATAGAGCGAGGGGGCGTGGGTTCGAATCCCAGCTGTGGTCAAGTTTTAATTTTTTTTATTTTTCTCTTCTTTTGTTTATTTTACATTAATTTATTTATTTAATGTGTTTTTCGATATATTAAAGATTCCCATATATAAAAATGAATTTTTTCATTCGGGGAGTTTCAAATAATGCTTAAAAAATGGAAATATCCCGGAAAATTAGTTTATTTATATCATATAATTTTTTTAAACTCCTTTTACAATATTTTCACGATAGTTTAACAGGCGAAATATGTTGTTCAAAGTATAAAATGAAGAGAGTCTCTTTGTGAAAGAAAGTATAATGGAATAAAAAATAAAATAAAATAAAATGGCGGGAAAAAGGATCGAATTTCAAGCCTACCTACTTCCTTATAATATTAAGCTATAATTTTCATATTCAGACCGAAATTAGGCCTCTATGAGGTGAACCCCTCTGCCAAAGCATATTTTTATAGCCCAATTAGGGGGGAAGCAATGGCCCCTTAAGTCTTTTGTTTAGCAATCCGGGAGAGGGTACTTGAAGCTATGTTGCATCGCGATCCTCGTATAAGCGTGGTCCAACGGCTAAGACCATGTGCTAGTGACTTACGCATAGAGCGAGGGGGCGTGGGTTCGAATCCCAGCTGTGGTCAAGTTTTAATTTTTTTTATTTTTCTCTTCTTTTGTTTATTTTACATTAATTTATTTATTTAATGTGTTTTTCGATATATTAGATTCCCATATATAAAAAAGAATTTTTTTAATCGGTAAATTTCAAGTAATACTGAAAAACTGGAAAAATTCCGGAAAATTAGTTTATTTATGTTATATTATTTTTTAAAACTCCTTTTACAATATTTTCACGATAGTTCAACAGGCGCTATTTTTTGTTCCAAGTATAAAATCAAGGGTGTCTCTTTGTGAAAGAAAGCATAATGAAATTAAAAAAAGAAAAAAAAAAAATGGCGGGAAAAAGGATCAAATTTCAAGCCTACCTACTTCCTTATAACATTAAGCTATAATTTTCAAACTCGGACCGAAATTAGGCCTCTATGAGGTGAACCCCTCAACCAAAGCAAATTTTTATAACCCAATTAGGGGGGAAGCAATGGCCCCTTAAGTCTTTTGTTTAGCAATCCGGGAGAGGGTACTTGAAGCTATGTTGCATCGCGATCCTCGTATAAGCGTGGTCCAACGGCTAAGACCATGTGCTAGTGACTTACGCATAGAGCGAGGGGGCGTGGGTTCGAATCCCAGCTGTGGTCAAGTTTTAATTTTTTTTATTTTTCTCTTCTTTTGTTTATTTTACATTAATTTATTTATTTAATGTGTTTTTCGATATATTAGATTCCCATATATAAAAAAGA